TTCCATCTGAATCTTCCCTCCACTCTGGGTCTGGGCCGGCCTCCCCTTGTCCTCCGGTTGTGTTGGATGTTCAGTCACTTGGGGTGAGGGCAGGGGCCCGGGGTGGGGGCAGGTTCTCTGGGCTGACAGCTGGCCGCTGGAGCCCTCTCTCTGGGGGTGCTGGGAGCAGGTTCTCAGGGGCGCCGGTGCCCTTGGCTGCCCCCGGGGAGGCCGTGTGGGGCCCCAGGGAGTTAGCTGTGTCTCAGCTGAGGTCGAGAACAGTGGGGAACCTGCGCCCAGGTTTCCTGCAGTGCCCGCTGCCCGCGGTGTGCCCACTCCTGCCACATAGGGGGCTTTGAAATGGGCGTGACTACGCCCCCAGCCCCTCCTGTGATGCGGCAGCAGGCCCTCCCCCCCCACCTCTCCACCCCGGAAGCCCATAGTCAGGGCTCAGTACTCTGGGTGCTGCAGAGTGACTGGTGGGAAGCGTCCATGTGGGCTGGATGGAATATTCTAGAATGTTTGCAGCTGGGGTTCTGCTGGGCGTGGGTGGAAGCTGTGGGGCTGGGGGCTGAGGCCAGCCTGCTGGGGACGGGGTTCTGACGGGGTGTGAGCCGGGAGGCAGGCAGGAGAGCACTTCCCTGGCTGTGGGGTCTCGCACTTAACAGAGCAGGGAGCCGTCTCCCAGGCAGGACTGGGCCAGAGAACTTTCTGGAAAGAGCTGCCGTGAGCCGTGGTGCTGGGCGGGGGGGGCTCCTTGTCCGTGCAGTGGCCCCGAGACCTGGCGGGGGACCCGGCCCCCTGTCGTCCAAACGGCAGGCAGAGCCCAGGCTGTCCCCCTCACGTGGACACTCGGACGCACGCACACACACGCTGACACGTGTGCGCACACATGCACACACGCACCCGCTCGCGCCCACCACCCGGCCTGCCTCCCGCGCTCCGTGCTCCGTGCAGCCCCCCGAGCCGAGCACCGCGGTGGCCCCCGGCCAGGAGCAGCTCCTGCTGCATCTTCCTGTCGCCGCCACCAGGCTAAATATAACCTGACACTGCACAGTCCAGGCCGCTCCGGAGGACAGCGGCGGCCGGGGGGCGGACAGCCCCGCAGCCCCAGCCTCCTGCCCTCGGTGTGACTTTGGGACCCGGGAGGGAGCCAGGCGGCCGCCTCCAGGTCACCTTCCCCACCAACCCCTGCCGGGACGGCCCTGGCTGCTTCTCCCAGGCCATCTGTCACCGCATCTGGCTCTCCAGCGGCTCCCGCTGGCCCCCGGGGAGCCCGGGCTCAGGCGGCCTGTCTGTGCCTGTGGGGGGGCGGGGGACCCCCTCTCCTCCCTGGCTCTGCACTGGGTCCGGCCGACCCTGGCAGTGGGAGGCCGGGGTTCCCTTGCTTGACGTCCAGCGACTCAGCCTCCTGGACCCACGGGGAAACCCCGTCCAACGCTGGCCCTGGCCCGGGGAGCTGCCTGGGGCCCTGGCTTCTTCCTGCGCTGTCCGAGAGAGGAGGCCTGACCCCGAGTGTGACTCATCCAAGCTTGGCCACGTCAGGGGTGCCGAGGGCAGGAGAGGGGCCTTGCCCCATCTCTGTGCATGGGATGCCAGGAGGAGCCTCTGGTGGACAGGGCTGGGCTGGCTGAGCCCCTGCGGCCTGTCCCCGAGCTGGAGCTGAAATCCTGGTGGTGGGGAGGCACCAGGCCTGGTGCCCCCTGCCGGCTGCTATCTTCAGAGTCCGGGGTGTACGTGGGGGACTGGCCGCCTTGTCCCTCAGCCTGTGGGTGATGACTTGGCTGCACCCATCCCCCCATGGCCCAGGGGTCCAGTTTCCGCTTCACAGCTCCCAGGTGAGGCCGGTGGTCCCCCAGCCCGGCAGGTGCTTGCTCCAAGTCATTCTGGAACAGAGAGCCAAGACCCCCGCCCCAGGCCCACTGCCCTTGCCCTGCCTCTCAGGTCACTGCGGAGCCGCCTGGCCATTCTGTGGGCAGCGAGGGGGCTGCCAGGCCGGCCCCCTGCGTCCCGGTGTCCAGTGCCGGGCTGGCTCTGGAGCGCTAGCGCAAGCCGCGCCTGCCGCCGTGTGGCCACAGGCGGAACTGCAGTGCCGGCTCCCTGTGCTCTGGACCCCAGGACGGGCAGGTGCCCGCCGTGGCGGGGCGGGGGTAGGGGGTGGGGTGGGCCTGGGGACGTGGAAGACCCTGAGTACAAGGCCACCTGGTGCCCTGCCCTGTTGTGTGGTGCCAGCGAACCGAGCGCTGGGGCCCCCGGCGCAGAGGGATCTCTCAAGCCGTCTTCTCTGTTGTCCACTCGGGGCCCAGTACCCACCCCTCCCCCTCCCCCCTCCCCCACCAGGCTGCCCGTTGCTCCATGCAGACACCCAGCTTAGCGTTCCCTGTGTCCACCTTTGTCCCGGGGGCCTGCACTGTGCCCGGGTCCAGCCCATGCTGGGTGCTGGGAAATCTGCCGAAGAGGCCAGAGGCTCTGAGCACGGTGGCCCTGGGGTGGGGGTGGGGCGCACTGTCCCCCCTGGACCCCCCCTCACCCCGCCTTCTGCCAGACTCCAGCTCATATTTCTGGAATAACCGGAACTCTGACAGCTAATTTGAAGAAAGACTTCTTTGAATGTGGGCAGGGGGTCAGGGCCAAGGGCCCTCGGTGTGGACGGGTGTGGGGTGCTAGGGGGCTCTGAGCCATGGCCGGGAAGTGTGGTGGTCCTGGGCCAGGGGCTGGGCCTGGCCCCAGGTAGAGAAGCCTGAGCCGGTGGGCAGGACGCTGAGGCCCCGCCCCTGTGGCCAGCACCCCTCCTGGCATCTGCGGGCGAGGAGGGGGGGTCAGGCCTGCACCCTGGGCCTGGGCCGGGGCTGGGGTCTCTGGGGCTCCGGCCCTCGGCCTCTCCTCCGTCCTGCTCAGGCCCTGCCGGCCATCACCATATTAGGAAAGAAACTCCGAGGCCTGTCTGGGTGCCAGACGCTGCAGCTGGGCCCGGCCCTGCAGTCCCAGCCCATAGCTGTGCTCGGCGGTGCCATGGCAGGGCCGGGGTCAGGGGTCAGCCTGCCTCAGTTGGTCTCAGAGGATCTGCCTCCTGCCCAGCGTGTGCCACGTCCGGCCCCAGCCTGACCAGCATGTGTCTGTGGTGTACACAGTGTGTGTGTGTGTGTGTGTGTGTGGTATGTGGTGTGTGTGCATGTAGCGGGTGGTGTGCATGGTATCTCTGTTGTGTCCAGGTCATGTGTGATGTGTGCTGGTGCATGTACTTGGCGTGTGTGGTATATGGTGTGTGTGTGCTGTGTACATGTAGTGGATGGTGTTTTTGTGGTATCTGTTGTGTACATGTTGTGTATGTGTGTGCTGTGTGCAGGTATATGTAGGTGGTGTGTGGTGTGTGTGTGTGTGTGGTATGTGGTGTGTGTGCATGGAGCAGGTGGTGTGCATGGTATCTGTGTGGTGTGCAGGTCTTGTGTGTGATGTGTGCTGGTGTGTGTACTTGGCGTGTGTGGTGTATGGTGTGTGTGTGTGTGTGCTGTGTACATGTAGCGGATGGTGTGTGTGTGGTGGTATTTATTATGTGCAGGTTGTGTATGTGTGTGCTGTGTGCGGGTATATGTAGGTGGTGTGTGGTGTATGTGTGTGGTGTGTGTGTTATACATATGTATACGGTACAGATTGCATGTGTGGTGTGTATGGTGTGAGTGTGATACATAGTGTGTGTTGGGTGTGGCATGCGTGTATGTGCGTGGTGTGTGTATGTGCTGCTGCTGGCCCCCGCTGCCCCCAGCCCTGGCCCCTGGCTGCTCCCTCCTCTCGAATTCTGACGGCCCCCTGGCTGCGGCTGAGCTGGGGCACACCTGGGGGTGTGAGGGCGACCCCGGAGGTGATGGGGTGTGGGAGAGGGGAGGAAGGGCAGAGGGAGGGGGCTGGGGGAGGGAGGGACACCCATTAGGCCCTGCACCCCTCCCCTCCCCTGCTGTCGGGTCATGGACACCCTGGCAGGGTGGGCCCTTCTGGGAGACTCTGACCCGGGAGATCAGGGGGGTCAGAGTCTCGGGCACAGCACGGGGTGGGGGGCTGTTCAGGGAACGTGCCTGGTGCTGCAGGGCCCCGGGGGCCGGGACGGGGTGGGAGGCATCTTCTGGGTGCCGCTAGGAGGACTTCCTGTAGGCGGGGGGCTCTGAGCTGGGCCTGAGGGGGTGGGAGAGCTCACTGGAGCGCCGAAACCAGCAGAGAGGAGGAGGATGAGGGGTGAGGGGGAAAACCCAGGGCGAGGCATTGGCCTGCAACCAGGCGGGCTTGCTGCCCTGGTCCTGTCCCCAGCACTGCCCCCTGCCGGGAGTGATCCCTGAACACAGGGCCAGGGGTCAGACTCGGGCGAGGGGCCAGAAGCTGCGTCTCTGGCACAGGCCAGCCTGGGGGACCCCCACCAAGGGGTCTGGAGTCGTCCTGGGAGGGGACCTGGCAGGCGGCTGGGCACTGGGGCCAGGGAGGCTCGTCCTGAGACCTGCTTGCCCCAGGGCCCGTTCCCATGCTGAGGACTGACCACACACGAGGCTCTCGGGGAGATGAACTGGGCAGTACTGGGACGCGACAGCCGCTGCCTCGTCCCTTGCAGAGAGGGACGTGGTGCGTGGCTGCGCCCCCGGAGTCCCTTGCTGTACGCGGTGTTCCCGGAGCTCAACGGGCCGCAGCTAACGGCCTTTGGTCAGGCGGCACCGCGGCTGCCAGCTCGCTCCCGGGGCGTCTAGCTAGCGGTGCCGGAGCAGTCAGGAGTGACCCCGCCCCCCGTACCCCTGGGCTGCGATCTTGGAAGGAAATAAAAGACACCAAAGCAGACGTGGGCGCAGGGGCCCCAAGGAGAAGAGGCGGAGCCCTGAGCTGGCACAGAGGGGCGGTCCCCCGGGGGAGGCGGGGTGGGGTGCCCGTGGGCAGTGGGGCCAGCGCGGTGGGAGGCACCCTGGCTGGGGATCGGTCCGCAGGCCGCTCAGCACTGCCCACCCCGGCCCCTGTCCCCGGCCACTGAGGCTGTGCGCCCTTGGCAGGAAGCTGCTTCCTGTGTCTGGTGGACGTGGTCCCCGTGAAGAACGAGGATGGCGCCGTCATCATGTTCATCCTCAACTTTGAGGTGGTGATGGAGAAGGAGCTGGTGGGGTCCCCGGCCCGCGACACCAACCACCGCGGGCCCCCCACCAGCTGGCTGGCCCAGGTACGCGCCCCGGACCTGCCTGCGTCCTAAACTCCCGTGGAAGGGGCGCCCGCCCGGGGCGTGGAGGGGTGAGGGGGGACCCGGCGCTGGGTGGGCAGGTGGGCGGGCGGGGTGCACGGCCCCTCGGAGCAGCGGCCTCTCCCCGCAGGCCGCGCCAAGACCTTCCGCCTGAAGCTGCCCGCGCTGCTGGCCCTGACGGCCCGGGAGGCGCCCCGCGCGGCCGGGCGGCGCGGGGGGCGGCGCGGGGGCCGTGGTCGTGGACGTGGACCTGACGCCCGCGGCGCCCAGCAGCGAGTCGCTGGCCCTGGACGAGGTGACGGCCCTGGACAACCACGTGGCCGGCCCGGGCGCGGCGGGGGAGCGCTCGCCGCGCGCGCACGGCCTCAACCCCGAGGCGTCGGGCTCCTGCTGCAGCCTGGGCCCGCACCCGCTCCCGGGAGAGCTGCGCCAGCGTGCGCCGCGCCTCGTCGGCCGACGACATCGAGGCCATGCGCGCCGCGCCCCCGCCCGCGCCCCCCGCGCCACGCCAGCACCGGTGAGCGGGGCCGGTCGGCCGCGCCCCGCGCCCCTCCGCGGGCCCTCTGCCCTCCGCGCCCCTTCTCCTGCGCCCCTTCTCCCGCACCCCTTCTTCTCCCTCATTCCCTCCTTCCCTCCTTCCTCCCTTCCTTCCCTTCCATCCCTTCTTCTTCCTTTCCATCTTCCTTCCTCCCTCCTCCCTCCTTCCTTCCTTCCTTCTTCCTTCCTTCCTTCCTTCCTTCCTTCCTTCCTCTTCCTTCCTTTTTTCCCTTATGGGTCACACCCAGCGATGCTCAGGGCTTACTCCTGGCTCTGCGCTCAGGAATTACTCCTGGAGGTGCTTGGGGAACCATACGGGATGCTGGGAATTGAACCTGGGTCGGCGGCATGCAAGGCAAATGCCCTCCCCTGCACTCTGGCTCTGGCTGCTCTTCCTTCTTTCCCTTTCTTTCCTTTCTTCCCCTTCCCCTTCCCTCTTTCCCTTTTCTACCTTCCTCCCTGCTTCCTTCCTTCTCTCTCTTCTTTCCTCCTCCCTCCCTCCTCCCTCCCTTCTCCTTCCTTCCTCTTCCTTCTTTCTCTTCCTTCCTCCTCCCTCCCTCCTTCCCTCCCTCCCTCCTTCCTTCCTTCCTTCCTTCCTTCCTTCCTCCCTTCCTCCCTCCCTCCCTCCCTTCCTTCCTCTCTTCCCTTCCCTCCTCCCTCCCTCCCTTCCTCTCCCTCTCCCTCCCTCCCTTCCCCTGCACCCGCTCCCTACCCCTCCACCCCGGGGCTCCTCACCCCTTCCTGCGCCCTGACCGTGCCCCCCGCCCAGGGGCCATGCACCCTCTCCGCAGCGGGCTGCTCAACTCCACCTCCGACTCGGACCTCGTGCGCTGCCGCACCATCAGCAAGATCCCCCAGATCACCCTCAACTTCGTGGACCTCAAGGCCGAGCCCTTCCTGGCCTCGCCCGGCAGCGACCGCGAGATCATCGCCCCCAAGATCAAGGAGCGCACCCACAACGTCACGGAGAAGGTCACCCAGGTAGGGGTCCGGCTCCCCGGGGGGGTGGGGTCCTGCAGTAGGGGCCGAGAAGGGCGTGGGGGTCCTGCGTGGGGTGGGGGACAAGGCGCGCTCTGGTTGGTGCTTCGAGGGCTGGGGACAGGCCAAGGGGCTGCGGTGAGGGGCCAACGGGTCCCGGTCGGGGCTGCCGTCTGGGGCCAGGCGATGAGGTGGGTGGAGGGTCCGGACGGTCCTGACCCGTAACGGGGAGGAACATGGCCAACCACGTGCTCTCTGGGCTCTCTTCTGCGTGCAGGGGTGCGAGGGGGCTGCAGTGGTCTGCGGTGATTCCTTCCTCCCTCCCTCCCTCCCTCCTCCTTCCTTCCTAGAGCTAGACTGCTTCCCTCTCCTTCCTTCCTTCCTTCCTCCCTTCCTTCCTTCCTTCCTCTCCTCCCTCCCTCCCTCCCTCCCTCCCTTCCTTCCTTCCTTCCTTCCTTCCTTTCATCTCCTTCCTTCCTCCCTCCTTCCCTCCCTCCCTTCCTCCCTCTCCTCCCTCCCTCCCTCCCTTCCTTCCTCCCTCCCTCCCTCCCTTCCCCTCCTCCCTCCCTCCCTCCTTCCTCTCTCCCTCCCTCCCTCCCTTCCTTCTCCTTCCTTTCATCTCCTTCCTTCCTTCCTTCCTTCCTTCCTTCCTTCCTCCTTCCTTCCTCTCTCCTTCCCTTCCTCCCTCCCTCCCTCCTTCCCTTCCTTCCTTCCTTCCTTCCTTCCTTCCTCCCTCTCTCCTCCCTCCTTCCCTCTCTCCCTCCCTCCTTCCCTCTCCCTCCCTCCTTCCCTCCTCTTCCTCCCTCCCTCCTTCCCTCTCTCCCTCCCTCCTCTCCCTCCCCCTTCCTTCCTCCCTCCCCTCCTTCCCTCTCTCCCTCCCTCCTTCCCTCCTCCCATCCTTCCTGGGGCCAGGCTCAGTGAGCAGAGAGTGGGGGCCGCCTTCCACCACCCTGGCCGGTCCCTGCGGGCTCCCGGGCTGCCCCCGGCCCGTCCCTCTGGCTCGGGCCAGGCCGGGCCCCTGGCCTTGGGTCCGCCTTGGGTCCGCGGCCTCTCCCGGGCGGGCGGCGTTATCAGCGGTGCCCCCGCGCCCCCGCCGCCCGCGGCCCGTGCCCGTCCGCGCTGGGCTCTCCCTCTCTGGGCGTCTGGGCCGGCCGGGACTGGCCTGGCGGGGCGGGGGTGTCGGGGAGGCCATTAATCTGCGGTGACAGGCCGGGCTGGCGGGGGAGGGGCGCGGCGCGGGCGCGGGCTGCAGCGAGCCCGGCGGGCGGCGCGGGGGAGGGGGCGCGGGGGTGGCGGCGGGTGGGGACCCGGCGGAGGAGGGGCCGGCCGTGAGCCGGAGCGGCGCGGGCGGGCAGCGGGCAGAGCTCGGCGCCCTGGCAGCGGGGCCCGCGGCGGGGGGCCATGGGCAGCGGCCCGGGCGCCCTGCCTGGGTGACCCCGGCCCGGGGCGCGGCCCCTCGGACCCCGGCCGCCCGCCGGGGGTCGCTCCGGCCGCCGAGCCGCCGGCTCCCGGGGCGCAGCGGCGCCCGGGGCTGCTGCTGGGGCGCAGGTGAGGCGCTGGCCGGGCCCGCGGGCCCCAGGAGGGCCAGGCTGGGGGGCACCAAGCCCTCCGCGGCCGCCCCAGGGGGGCAGGCGAGCAGGACGGGCGCGCTGCAGGCCCGGGCCCAGAAAGGGCCGAGTGCGGCGGGCCGTGCGCATCTCCAGCCTGGTGGCCCAGGAGGTAGGTGCCCCCGGCGCTTCCCCCCTGCGGGCCGCCTGGCAGCCCTGGGGGGGTGACCCCCCAACGCGCGCCCTTCTCTGGGCCTCGGGCTGTGTGGACGCGTGTCCTGCGCCCCTCTGCGGCGGCTTCCAGGTCTCAAGGCGAAGGGAGGGCAGGGGGCGGGCCAGAGTGGACACCCCAAAGGGTGGCCGAGCACGAGCTGAAGGCAGGGCTGGCGGGGGGCTGGCTGGCGCAGGCACCCTCGCCGCGGGCTGCACCCCGAGTCCCGGCCGGACCCCCAGTGGGTGCGCTGGAGTCTGGGGAGGGGTCGGGGGTCGCAGGGTGGTACCCACAGCCATTTGTGGTGGCTCAGGCTGATGATGTGGTGGGCACCCTCGGGGTCCCGTCTCAGGCTGCTGTGCCCACTCGGCTCAGGGCCATGGCAGGGGTCCCGGAGAGTGAGAGCATTGCCCCTCACTCCAAGCCAGGCACCTCCTCCAGCCTGGGCGGGTGAGGGGTCAGTGAGCCCCAGGGCTGTGTCTCCTGTGAAGCAGCCAGTCGGGGCCGCGGCTCAGCTGGTCGCTGGGTGCCTGGCCTGTGTCTGTCCTGCTGTGTCCAGCCTGGGCGGTGTGCACCTTTGCCTTTTGGGGCGATGCTCTTCTGGCATCCGGGAGGGCATGGCTGCTGTGAGCCCTCCCCCCACCACCCCCCCCCCCCCCCCCCCCCCCCCGGCACAGCTCCCTCGAGTGGCCCTTGTTGGCAGGACCCCAGCCAGCTCTACCTTCGGATCCGTACCCGGCCCGGCTCAGGCTGTCTGGGTCGACCACGGTGAGGGTGGGGGGCCCGGAAGCCACCCTGGCTCCCTGGCCCTGCCCTGACCACTACCCGCCACCCTGAGCCTCCGGAGCCCCCACTGTACACTGGCAGCCGCCCTCAGGGTGCTCTCCAGAGGTCACCTGGGGACTCTGGGCTCCCGAAAGCCTGACTGTTAGGGGGAGCTCGAGGGTTACCCCCAGACCTGAGGTGGGGCCCGGGAGGTATGGGCTCTCCCAGGGGCCGGTGAGCCTTGGGCAGTGCCACGTCAGAGGCGAAGGGAGTGGGGGTGACGCTGGATGTGTCTTGTACTGTGTGCAGGCGAGGGAATCCTGGGCACGGGTCTTCTGTGTATCACTGTGGGAGAGTGAGCTGCACTGGGGAGCTGGAGTCCTGGGCCCTGTGGCCTGAAGGAATGTAGGCCTTGGTCCCTGGACACCCATTTGTGGGACAGGAAGGGCTGCACCCAGCACCCTGCCAGCTTCTGGCCTCACACCGAGCCCCATGGGAGCTGCAGCCTGGGAGCATGTTCAACATTTTCTGGACTGACACTGTGGAGTGTGCATGGTGTGTGTGTATATGGTGTGTGTGTGGTGTGTGCATGGTGTGTGTGCACGGTGTGTGTGTGCATGGTGTGTGCACATGGTATGTGTGTGTATGATGTGTGTATGCATAGTGTGTGTGCATGGCATATGTATGCATGGTGGTGTGCATAGTGTGTGTATGCATGGTGTGTGGGCATGGGTGTGTACACGGCGTGTGCGCGCATGGTGTGTGTGCATGGCGTGTGTATACATAGCGTGTGCGCACAGTGTGTATATGCATGGGGTGTGTGCATGGGGTGTGTGTACATGGTATGTGTGCATCGTGTGTGTGCATGTTGTGTGTGCATGGTGTATGTGTGCATGGTATATGTGCAGGTTTGTGCATGGTGTGTATGCATGGTGTGTACATGGTATGTGTGTACAGTGTGTGTACATGGTATGCATGTGAATGGTGTGTGGGGAGCATGGTGTGTATAGTGTGTATGTGAATGGCACGTGTGTGGGGCATGGTTTGAGTGTGCATTGGGCATGTGTGTAGGCATGGTATATGTGTATGGTGTGTATATGGTGTGTGTATATGGTGTGTGGGGGGCAGGGTATATGTGGTGTATTATGTATATGTGCCATGTATGTTGTGCCATATATGCACATAGTGTGTCAGTGTGTTATGTCTGTATCCAGTTTGGTCTTTTGTATATGCCTCTGTGTGTGTGTGTGTGTGTGGTATGCCAGTTGTGGGCTGTCTGGTGTGTCCTGTGAACGCGTGTGGTTAAGGGTGTGGGCAGTCTGCAGGAGTGGGGGAGCATGGCTGGTGGGGAGCAGCTCCCGGGCAATCCTGCCTGGTGCTGGACCTGGGTGCAGCTGTCAGGTCCCTGCGCTGCGGGAGGCTGGCCAGTGGCTGAGGCTGGGCCTCCACGTGGAAACCGTCTGGCTCCACCCCTCACGCTGTGGGCCTCGTGGCTGGAGGCACGCGGCCCAGAGGCCCCCTCACCCCCTGCCCTCCCGGCCAGGTCCTGTCCCTGGGCGCCGACGTGCTGCCCGAGTACAAGCTGCAGGCCCCCGCGATCCACCGCTGGACCATCCTGCACTACAGCCCGTTCAAGGCCGTGTGGGACTGGCTCATCCTGCTGCTGGTCATCTACACGGCCGTCTTCACGCCCTACTCGGCCGCCTTCCTGCTGAAGGAGACGGAGGAGGGCCCCCCAAACTCCGACTGCGGCTATACCTGTCAGCCGCTGGCCGTGGTGGACCTCATCGTGGACATCATGTTCATCGTGGACATCCTCATCAACTTCCGCACCACCTACGTCAACGCCAACGAGGAGGTGGTGAGCCATCCTGGCCGCATCGCCGTGCACTACTTCAAGGGCTGGTTCCTCATCGACATGGTGGCCGCCATCCCCTTTGACCTGCTCATCTTTGGCTCCGGCTCGGAGGAGGTGGGTCTGCGGAGGACGGTGGAGAAGCGGCTGGGAAGGGAGAGGGACCAAAGGGGCGTGGCCAGAGGAGAGGGGCGGGGCCAAAAGCAGGTGGAGCATGACAAGGAAGGAGGGGCATGGCTAGAGGTGAGGGGGCGTGGCCAGAGGCTGGGGGCGTGGTTAGAGGGGGAAAGGGCGTGGCTAGTGAGGCGGGGCGTGGCTGGAGGAGAGGGGCAAGGCCATAGGGGCAGGGCATGGCTAGTTGGGCGGGGTGTTATTAGAGGCAGGGGGCGTGGCCAGAGGAGAGGGGCGGGGTCAATAGCAGGTAGAGCATGGCAAGAAAGGAGGGGCGTGGCTAGAAGTGAGGGGGCGTGGCCAGAGGCTGGGGGCGTGGTTAGAGGAGACAAAGGCGTGGCTAGTGAGGAGGGGCGTGGCTAGAGGAGAGGGGCAAGGACATAGGGGCAGGGCATGGCTAGTTGAGAGGGGCATGAGTAGAGTCAGGGGGCGTGGCCAGGGGAGAGGGGCAGGGCCAATAGCAGGTAGAGCATGTCAAGGAAGGAGGGGAGTGGCTAGAGGCGAGGGGGGTGGCTACAGGCTGGGGTGTGGTTAAAGGAGACAAGGGCGTGGCTAGTGAGGAGCGTGGCTAGAGGTGGGGCATGGCCAGAGGAGGTAAGGAAAAGGCAAGTGAGGAGGGGTGTGGCTAGAGGAGAGGGGCAAGGCCATAGGGGCAGGGCATGGCTAGTTGGGCGGGGCTTTATTAGAGGCG